GTGCATGTTGAAAAGCAGTTGATCAATTTGATCCAAGATTTTGCTTCTCCAGAAACATACTAAAACCAGGAAGTGAGAACCACATGAGATTGAATGCTACTTGAGTGACACTCAAGAGTGACACTTCACACTGACTTTTCTGTCAAGTGTTGCCTTTTAAGATTTTGAGTTAACAATCTGTATGAAAGAGTGTGGGTTAAATAGTTTTCATTCCTCACTCCTGTTCTGTTTTAGTCCATTCAGTCTCCAGTAACAAAAATATCATTGAGTGGGTGGCTTAAACAACATTTATTTCCCATACTTCTGGAGTCTTGGAAAGTCTACTTCAAGGTACTGGCAGATTTGGTGTCTGGTGGGGGCCTGCTTCCTGTTCAAAGACAGCCATTGTCTGCTGTGTCTTCATAGGACAGAGGGGCAAGGGAGCTTCCTGGAATCTCTTTCATAAAGGTGCTAATCCCATTCCTGAGGGCTCTGCTTTCCTGATCTAATTACCTCCCAAAGGCCTATCTTCAAATACCATCACATTAGGGATTAAGTTTAAACATATGAATGAGGGGGGTGGTAAACAGTCTATAGTAGATCCTTTGGAGTTTTCCACCTGTCTTAGTTTGGTATGTAGGTATGAAATAGAAATTTTAGAAAAGGACAACCTTGTGCTGGTTGCCCTGAATAGTCTGAAAGTTCCCACTGCTGTGGTCAGAAGGCTACCTTCGTGGGTTCTGCAGTGTAGCTGCCACTTTAGTCCAGTTGACCCTTGAACAACATGGGTTTGAAATACGCAGGTCCACTTACACGTTTTTTTTTTTTTTTTAAATAAATACAGTACAACACTGTAAATGTGTTTTCCTTGTGATTTTCTTAATAACTCTTTTCTGTAGCTAATTGTAAGAATATAATATATAATACATATACAAAATATGTGTTAATTGACCATTTATGTTATCGATACAGCTTCTGGTCAGCTGTAGGCTATTAGTAGTTAAATGTTTGGGGGAGTCATGTTATTCACGCATTTCCGGTTGCACAGGATTCAGCACCCCTAACCTCTGTGTTGTTCAAGAGTCAGCTGTATAATGTACAAAAACTTTGAATTTCACCTCAAGTAAACATTGTGGTTGGTGATAACAGCAAAATGAACAAATATAGAGGACCAACGTCACTAGTTACAAGTTCATGAGAACACAAGAAGCTGAGATCAGTTCGATAAAGCTTGTTTTGTCTTGTTTTTTTAAAGATTTTATTTATTTGAGAGAGAATGAGAGAGAGAGCATGAGAAGGAGGAGGGTCAGAGGGAGAAGCAGACTCCCTGCTGAGCAGGGAGCCTGATGCTGACTGGATCCTGGGACTCCAGGATCATGACCTGAGCCGAAGCCAGTTGCTTAACCAACTGAGCCACCCAAGCGCCCAAGCTTGTTTTTTCTTTTTTGCCAGTCACTTTAGGCATATGTTCTCAGGGCCAACAGTTAAGACAACAGAATGTGGCTTGATTACATCATCTTATGGCACATTTTCTAATTACACTGCAGTTTCATTGGGGCTTCACTGACAAAATGCTGATTTATTTTCCTAGGCCTGTATATAAATTCTGTAAGAGAGCCCTTAATGTGTTAAATTGCAATAGCAGCTTGTGGGAGGGACCTCATTAGGCTGACACAATTTTATGTAACCTAGTAATAAAGTGTAATCTGGTAACTAAAATCCCTACTTTGGTAAATTCACTTTTTATTAATCTCTCAAATAAATGTTTGTGAAAACCATTATTACAGTATTAAGAAATGAATGGCCTATTCTAAATGCTAATGTGTCGTACATGATATTACAGCAAATGATTTGGTGATGAGAAATAGCACTGTTTTGCCTGTGTAGTAAGAGAATTTTGATGCTATGCTTGATCTTAGCCAAAAAACTGAAAAACAGTTGAGAATTTTGATGCTAGAGAATTATAGTTCATAGTTTTAAAATCTTGTAGGAAAACATTTTTTGGCACAAAATGTTTTCTAATGTCATTAGAGATTCTTAAAATAGATAACTTCAGTGTTTCATTCAAGACATAGCAATAGACTGAGCTCCTTTGAAATTATTGCCTTGAGTGCAGTTATGGATTCATTAATGCCTAGACATAGAGCTGTGCAGGGACCAGATCAAATAGAGCCTTGTAAGCCATGTAGTGTTAGGAGTTTAGATCTTGATATATGCAGAACACTTTGCTAGGCTTCATTCTTTTCAAGGCCAAATGACCTGTAACAGTTTGACAGTTCAGTCTCGTGCTCTGCATATGAGGAAACATGGTATTGACTTGTGTACTTGTGGATATCTAACAAGAAACTCATCATTTAGTTATGTGTTTATCTTCCGTCCCTCCACTAGAATGGAAGCTCCATGAGGGCATAGATTTTTGTCTTGTTCATCAGTGGTTCTTTTCCTTAATAACTTTCTAACTTTAAATTACTTACTTTGGGACTGTAAGTTATATTACTTTCAATATCTGAAAATTGAGCTAGTTAATTCTCAGATAGAAGATCAGTATTATGAGAACTGTCCCTTCAGAAGGGAAATGGAGCCAAGAGCGGCCCCTATTTGTCAGTTCTGCTGCTTTCTTAGTAAAGGGAAGAGTAGAAGATTTGAACAGTTGGCAGAAAAGGAAGCAGATCAAAATATAACCATGAACTTTAGCATAAGTTTTTCTTCTATTCAGCACTTAAACTTTTGTGGCTAGCAAGAATTTTAGCTGATAAAATAGTAACTCATCAACAAGTTCTGCCAGTTTTATCTCCTAAATATTGAACACTCATTCACCATTTCCCCTGCCCCCCATCCGTCCAAGTTTCCATACTCTCCTGTGGGACCACTGCAGAACTGTCTTGAATAGTCTTATCCACTCTTAATCTCTTCCAGTTTATTCTCTACACTGGACCAGATTGACCTTTTCTTTTTTTTTTTTTTTTAAGATTTTATTTATTTATTTGAGACAGAGAGAATGAGAGACAGAGAGCATGAGAGGGAGGAGGGTCAGAGGGAGAAGCAGACTCCCCGCCGAGCAGGGAGCCCGATGCGGGACTCGATCCCGGGACTCCAGGATCATGACCTGAGCCGAAGGCAGTCGCTTAACCAACTGAGCCACCCAGGCGCCCCAGATTGACCTTTTCAAAATGCAAATCTGGTTCTAGAACTTCACCTAAAACCCTTTTGAAGTTTCCCACCTTAGGCCACAGACCAATGTTGCCTGACTTCGGCCACCTCCAGTTATTTCCATAAAGGCCTCTGATGCTCTCTCATCTCTCTTGCCATGGAATTTTGGCACTTGTTCCTGTTCTCTTTGCTTGTTAACTGTACCCATCCTCCAGATCTCAGTACACAAATCCTGTACTCAATGGCACTTTCCCTAATCTTCCATTTTTAGATCAAAACTCCCTATTCACTGGATTGGCCCCATAGATCTTTACTTTGTAGCACTAAGCACACTTACAGAATTCCATGTATTTGACTAATTATGTGATTAATGAGGTCAGGACAAGACTGATTTTCCTCCCTGTTGTATCTCCAGTACTCAAGATAGGGTCTGGGAGGTAGTTTTTATTTTTTACTCAGTAAGCTTTTTTCAAATGAACGAATCACTTTCTTTGATTCAGCTTTAGAAACTTTTTTTTTTAAAGATTTTATTTATTTATTTGAGAGAGAGAGAATGAGAGAGAAAGCACATGAGAGGGGGGAGGGTCAGAGGGAGAAGCAGACCCCCCGCCGAGCAGGGAGCCCGATGCGGGACTCGATCCCGGGACTCCAGGATCACGACCTGAGCCGAAGGCAGTCGCTCAACCGACTGAGCCACCCAGGCGCCCCCAGCTTTAGAAACTTCTAATTCAGCCATTTAAAAATATATAAGTAATCTGGGGCACCTGAGTGGCTCAGTCATTAAGTGTCTGCCTTTGGCTCAGGTCGTGATCCCAGGGTCCTGGGATGGAGCCCCACATCAGGCTCCCCACTCAGTGAGGAGCCTGCTTCTCCCTCTTCCTCTGCCTGCCGCTCTCCCTGCTTGTGCTCGCTCTCTGTCAAATAAATAAATAATCTTTAAAAAAAATATAAATATATATAATTAATTCTATTGATGGTTTTGCTTAATCTTGAACTCTGTTCCCACTTTATTTTTTAGGGTATTACTGTTATTTGGAACTTAGTAAATGAATGTGTCTCATCCTACTTGTTCTCTTAGTTTGAGAAATTGTAAATATATTACTAATGCCTTACATTTTTTAAGAACTTTGGATATATTCTGTATTTTCCTGTTATTTTTTTTGTATAAAGCACACAGCCACCCTGTTTTCTAATATTTCCTCTTCTTCCAGGTTGCAGACTGCCAACTTTTTATTGTATCCTTATATGGCAGAAAGAGAGCTAGCTAGCTCTCTGGGGCTCTTCTTAGAAGGGCACTAATCCCATTCATAAGGTCTCTACCCTTATGATCAAATTACTTCCAAAAGGACCCAATTCCAAATACCATCACATTGGGATTAAGGTTTCAACATGAGAATTGGGTGGGGGTGGGGGGGGACATAAACATTCATTCCATTGCATTATGTATTAATTTCCCAGCAGTTGCATGGTTTCATGCAATAGGGTTAAGAAAAATGCACTCTTATTTATTTAATGAAAAATGTACTCATTTAATGCTAACATTCTGTAGTTCTATGAAATGTTTAGTAATTTCATTGATACTTTGAAAGCTTTTTCTTTTTAAGATTTTATTTATTTGAGAGAGAGAGAGAAAGAGTGATAGTGCATGAGCGGGTGGGGGTAGGGGCAGGAGAAGCAGGCTCCTTGCTGAGCAGGGAGCCCGATGCAGCACTTGATCCCAGGACCTTGGGATCATGACCTGAACCAAAGGCAGACGCTTAACCAACTGAGCCACCCAAGCACCCCGAAAGCTTTTTGTTTTTTAAAATATTTGTGATTACTGAGTGTTTATTAACAAACTAAAGGTGGTTCTTTCCACTTTGTTTCTTTAGTCCGAGGATCAGAAGGACTGTACATGGTAAATGGACCACCACATTTTACAGAAAGCACTTTGTTTTCAAGGTATGGTTTATATTGTTGTCTGATGTAATAGGGAACTGTATAATACATCCTAAATTATTTTTGTTGTTATATTCTGAACAAGAAAGGATAGGCTGGTTTCTTGGGGTGTGTTACATAATATTAACAGAAGATGGAAAGAATGCATATTCTTTATCAAGAAAAATGATTGATCTTTAGATTTGAAAATAATAGCTTCAGCATGTTTAAAAGAAAAAGTGTAGACCTTAGTATATTTGAGTTCAAGCCTTAAGCTTCGAAGAATCTTATCTTGGGGGATGAAGAAAAACTTGCAAATGTGGGAGCCAAACCACTGCCTATAGTCGTCATGAAATCGGACAATGAAAAAGATAGAGGAAAGGAAGGAAATAGAAAATATATATATAACTAGATAGATACAGATAAATTTTTTTCTAAAAAGAAACAATGAATGGGTAAACAGAAAATTATAATAAAAGTATTAAGTTGGTGGCATAACCGTATGATGACATGCAAAATTCTGAAATGCATTCAGTCATTTTATTGGTAACAATTATCAGTGAAAATTGATAATTGTCATTTTAAATCCATTGTATGATAAAACAAATAATTATATTAACATCATTAGAAACCAAGATTTTTCAGCATTAAGAATGAAAGGATAGACGCATATATCGATATGAACTCATGATTTCTTTTCATAAAAACATTTGTATTTTCTAGTTCTGTCCGCTGAAAAAGGTTGAGAAGCAGTGATAAGCTAGTAGCAGTGAATACCCCTGCCTCACAGATTGTGATCTTTAAACATCATTCCTTACTAACAGGAACTAGTTCCTTGCAGAAGTGACTGACTGCAGGTCTAGAAAGAAGATATAAGAATTGAGCTAGAGACGTCTTGGGCCAGAAAGCAAGGAAGCTATAAAAGACTAACAGGGCTTTGTTAAAGGGTCACAGGAGTCAACTTTAGGGGGTTCTCACTAACTTAAGATGGGGCACTTTGAGAATTGGAAAGAATCATGACTGAAAGGATTAAGACATTCAAGGATATAAACACTCTACCCAAAATTCCTCTCTCTCCAGATCTTTATTGGTCAGCATTGGAGGTTGATGGGGTCCTCGCTCATTACTTTGAAAACTGATAAATCAAGAGAAGGAGTCAAGCATTTATTTTGCCTTTCCTGTACAAACAGTTTTTCAGAGTAAACAAATTATTGATGAGGAAAACTTATTTATAGGAGAATTCCAGTTAATACAAAAGGAATGATGAGATTAGATAATCATTGTAATCTTAAAGAAATCATCTGTCAGTGGTTCTCAAACTTTAACATGCATCAGAACTCTCTGAAGAGCTTGTTAAAACACAGATTGCTGCTCCCTCCCCAGATTTTCTGATTCATTGGATCTGGGGTGGGGCCCAAGAATTGGAATTTTTAACAAGTTCCCCAGTAATGCCAAAGCTCTAAGTCTGGGGAGCCTGCTTTCAGAACTATTGATCTGGGCAAATGATCATCAAAAGATGCTGAAACTGTTAGAAGAACTATCAGTGGGGAACTTTATAATCAGGCTGACATCACCTGAATCTATTGCCCAGTTTTTTACTAGACCCCAGTTCTCTAGAACCATGATACAGGAAGTATGAGCTTAAGAACAGCTATATTATATTGGCTTCACCTTGAGCCAGTGCAGAAATATAACATCTCAGTCCCTGATCCAGCTTACTGAATCAGAATCTGTGTTTTAACCAGATCCTCAGGTGATTTGTATGCATATTGATATTTGAAAAGCACTGCTCTAGTAAACAAGTCTGTGTCAAAGCTTTTGTGCTGCATGCACTTCACTGGGGCGTATAATCCCAAGGCAGCAGGAATGTGGGCGGGGGGTGGTGGAACCAAGAGAAGGGAATAAGTCAAGGAAGAAGTGAAAGCAAATATAATGTGAGGTGCACTGAGCTGACCACAAATGCACAAAATATAGCCAGGCTGCTTGGTGATGCAAAATGTCTCTGGAGAGGCTATAAGGCACCACAGTGCCTCAGAACATTCAGTTGTGGAGAGGAAGCATAAGAAATGTTATCTGCAGCCAGAGCCTCTTTTGGTCTATTCAGGTTGAATTTGAGTGTCGGAGCTCCTCTTCCTGCTGCTGCAATAGGCGTAGTGGAAGCCCTGCTAAAATGTGGCCCTCACTCCTAGAGAGTCTGAGACAACCAGTGGTGTTAGGAGATGAGGTGGCCAGGTCTCTTCATTGAATAACTGAGGCCTGGAAGCAGGAAAGGTAAGGTGAATCTGAGGAGGCACACACATAATGAGTCCAGGACAGTCTCAGCATCACTAAGAGTAGAACGAGGAGACAGCACGTATCTCCTGGTGGGTAGTAATGGGAACTCCGTGACACTTACCTTCTATGCAGGTTGAAATAAAAAACAACCTGATTCTAGTCAAGCTTTTAGATGAGTGGTTCTCAAATTTGGCTGCATGCTAGAATGACATGGGGAGCTTTTAAAAACCGGGGTATCCAAGGATTGGGTATTAAATGAAATAAGTTGCAGCACAAGTGTAGGATGGAGGACCTCTTGATGATAGTTGTTTATGTGAGAAGAGGACAAAAAATGGGTCAGTAACTACAAGCTGAGGCTAAACTACCATTATTATGTGATTGCAGAAACACGAGTGTCATCTTCAGATGAATTAATAATGTAAATATAGTATCCAGTTTAAGGGGGATGTACTGCTCAGTTCTCAGTGCTTGTTATTTAATAATTCATATGGCTGTGGACTTCTACATGTGCCCACATACACATTTCTGTTTGTGTGTTCCTTAGCACTGGGAGATGTACTCCTAGTAGCCATCTCCAGTTGAGAGATAGAGTACTTAAGAGTTTTGTGGGTTTTTTTTTAAGATTTTATTTATTTATCTGACAGAGAGACACAACGAGAGAGGGAACACAAGCAGGGGGAGTGGGAGAGGGAGAAGCAGGTTTCTCGCTGAGCAGGGAGCCCAATGTGGGGCTTGATCCCGGGACCCAGGGATCATGACCTGAGCTGAAGGCAGCGCTTAATGACTGAGCCACCCAGGCGCCCCAAAGTTTTGATCACTGGATAGAATATTGCCAAGAAGTCTGATTTCCTAGGTCTGTTTTTATAGAGAATCTGACGTCCACACTTATTTAGTGTGAAGATCCTCTTATTGTTGTTACACTTCCTGTCTCTATACATCAGAAATTGATGGAAGATCTTTGTCCTTCAAATCCAGGGGCACTTCTTGGCGACTTGAGGATATTCTATCCAGTTATGTTGTTACGCAGGTGATCTGGAGAATTCCTCACAAAGTCTCCATATTGAAATCCTTCAGCCCTCTCAAGGTTAGGCCTGACAGTTAGTGACTTCCACGTTCACTTACATTTTTGAGTTTTCATACAAACTAGTTATTCACCCAAAAGAGCTCTATTTTCTTCTTAAGATTGATCTGTTGATCAATTTCCACCTTACTTTACAGTGGTTGTTGGCACTGCATTGTAAGAGATAAGGCATTTGGTAGACTAAAGCATTTTGGAATTACTTCTTAAATTTATGTAAGTTCATAATCATTAAATTAGTAGTAAGTGTAAATTTTTAATCACAGTTTTTTGAAAAGTATTAATGCTTATTAAACTTTCTTTCTTGTCATTTTCAGGGAATCTGGGAAAAATTGCAAAGTCTATACCTTTAGTAAGGATGGCACCTTGTTTGCCTGGGGCAACGGAGAAAAGTTAGTGTTTCTTTATATAACATATTTTATGTGTGTATCATCGGTGTAAAACATAAGTGGCATTATTTGAATTACATGTGTTTGGGTGTCGTTAATAAAGTCCATCTTTTAATGTCATGATGTACTTAGGTATTATCTCCGACGCAACTCCCATAGAACTCTAAAGTTATTAGCTTCTATTTATGTGCCATGACTTGACTTACCTTGTTTCTTAGGATTAAAAAGTAATATATGAAAGGGGGCAATTAATTTAATGCTGGAGAAGCTGAGAAGTTTTAAATAGTGCTCTAGTTAGTGGTTAGGGTTTCTTAAGTTCTGTACTAACACTTAGAGAGTAATTCTCTTTGCTTGCTTACCTTAGACTTAGATACGTATATCTTTGCTATTAAATTAGTAACAACTGTCTACAATTATTTCTATGAGTTTATTATATATGAAAGTATGTCATTTTAGTATTTTATAAATTATTCAAAAGTATATTAGTATAGTCTGTATTATATAAAATAATCAGATTACAAAATTGGTTTTGCAAAAGAAAAAGTTCTGATTAAATACTCATAATTTTGCTAAGAAAATCACTCTTAATTTTTCCATAGTCACTACAACATTTCAGTTCAAAGAACCAGGAAAATGCCTAAATATTTGTTGCTTGATTTAAAGTTATTTTTGTTGTTGTTAACCAGATGTAATACCTTAGGGTTTTTGTTTTTTCTTTTTTAGATTTTTAAAAAAGATTTTATTTATTTATTTATTTATTTGAGAGAGACAGCAAGAGAGGGAACACAAGCAGGGGGAGTGGGAGAGGGGTAAGCAGGCTTTCTGCTGAGCAGAGAGCCCGATGTGGGGCTCAATCCCAGGACCCTGGGATCATGACCTGAGCCGAAGGCAGATACTTAACCGACTAAGCCACCCAGGTGTCCCTACCTTAGGTTTTTTAAAAAGGAGAAAATGTATGCATTTGTATGAAAAGTACATTTTAAATGTTGTTTCTTACATAGTGGTGATGGATTCTGAAATCAGATTGGATTAAACACATGATTTTTAAAAATTAATGCTAAAAAGATTGTGTTGAATTAGATGATTCACTTTATTTATTTATTTATTTATTTATTTTTAAGATTTTATTTATTTATTTGACAGAGACACAGCAAGAGAGGGAACACAAGCAGGGGGAGTGGAACAGGGAGAAGCAGGCTTCCTGCTGAGCAGGGAGTCTGATGCGGGGCTCGATCCCAGGACCCTGGGATCATGACCTGAGCCGAAGGCTGATGCTTAACTGACTGAGCCACACAGGAACCCCTCACTTTTTTTTTAGATGATTCACTTTTTATGACTATGAGTAGCTGGCAGAATTAGTTATTGTAATTAAAAATGTTAATCACTTCAATATTTTTTTAAGTTATTGAATCCAGTCAGTACACCACTACTCATAAATTATTAAGAATATAATCATATTGGGGGTGCCTGGGTGGGTCAGTCAGTTGAGCATTTGGCTCTTGATTTTGGCTCAAGTCATCTCAGGGTCCTGGGATCAAGCCCTGTGTTGGGGTCTGCACGTGACGCAGAGTGTGCTTATCCCTCTCCCTCTAATCCTCCCTTCCCCGTTTGCTCTCCCTCTCTCAAAGAATGAATGCAGTCTTTTATTTATTTATTTTTAAAGATTTTATTTATTTGCGAGAGAGAGAATGAGAGACAGAGAGCATGAGAGGGAGGAGGGTCAGAGGGAGAAGCAGACTCCCTACCGAGCAGGGAGCCTGATGCGGGACTCGATCCTGGGACTCCAGGATCATGACCTGAGCCGAAGGCAGTCGCCCAACCAACTGAGCCACCCAGGCGCCCCTGAATGCAGTCTTTTAAAAAAAAAAAAAGAATATAATCATATTGGGCCTTATCCACAATGTTAACAGACAGTCTTAATCTCAGTCTCAAAGAATGTACTCTCAAATTTTCTTATTTTTGGTGTAACCTATTGTCGGTGTTTGAGTTTTATTTTTTAAAATCTATATTTTAGTTTATGAGTAATGAGTTAATAGAAATTTACTCTCAACTCTAATGGGACATACCATACTTCCTCTCATTGTCTATTATCTTTTTGAGGTATCCCTTATTCTACTAGCTTAGAGTTGGTTGAATAAGTCTGTTCACCTTCACAATTATTTTATATATTTCATATCCCCATTGGCTTTCTTTTGGATTCAACTTTGAACCCTTTTAATATGTGCCCATTTGTTATGTCCATCTTTTTAATAGATATTTTCTATTCCTGGTTCTAGCATTTACTTCCTTAAAGTGCTGTGGCCACAACAACATATAATGTTCCTGGGGCCAAGAGAAACAGATGTAGTGTATTGATTGTGGTCTTTGCTGAGGTCATAGTTAATTAATCAGAAACTATAACTGATTTTTCCTTAAATATCTGGGGTTTTTTAGTATAAATAAATACTCTTTATTAAACTAAGAATAGCTATTAAAAGCTATCAACAACAACAACAAAAGTTTCATGTAATTCTAAAATTTGTAATTTATAGTAACTTGTAAAGAATCCTGTGTATTTGTGTGTGTGTGTGTGTGTGTGTTTAAACAGTATGCAGTAATCTTTCTGTAATGGAAATCTTTTACCAATTTCTGCTTATCCTAAACCAGTGGCACAAACTTGAATAGGCCAAAGTAACTTTAAGCAATTTCTAAAGTAAGATGGAGTATCTTTTTTTTTTTTTTTTTACCCCAAAGAGTACATAAGAGAAGTCAAGCCAAACTGGTTTTAAAACTTGACTCTGGTATTTATCAGTAGTATGATCTTGGAGAAATCATCAAATCATTTATTTTTCTAAGCCTCACTTTTACCATTTGTAAAATAGAGATGATAATACCTATCTTGTAAGTCTCTGTGAGGATTAAATGTGAAAACGTTTGTACATAAAGTGGTTAGATCAGAACATGGTTCACAGAAAGCATCCCAAAAATGGAACTGCTTTTATTATACAATTATTATAATTTTTATCATTATCATATCATAGTAAGTCTTATCTTTTGGAGATTGCTTCTGAGATTTTAAGATTTTGCTGTTCTGAGACAGCAAAAGTCTCCTTGATTTCACGGCTGCTACAACTTCCATTTAGTCAAATTAAAAAATATACTTTTGGTTTAGCACCTCTGTTTTCCCTTGGTTTGATATACCTCAGCTTATCTGTAGGTTAGTTCTGTGTCCACTTAAAGGCCTGTTGTTTTCTTTTCAGCTAAAAATGGAATCATCTATTATATACTTCTGCTAAGTCTGTATTTCCTAATACCAACCTTATATAGGGGCATTTTGGTAAAAGGTACACTTAGTTTTTGTTGTTGTTAAGGTGTTTATTGGATATTTTCTAGAATTAACTGAAAATTGATTTTTATGAAAATGACCACTTTATAGCAATCTGTATTTGAGAAGAGACATGAATGTTTTGGATAGTGCTGGCTATTTTAAAACAGTATTTCATTGCTGAAGTAATTTCTTTTGAAACCAGAATAAATGTTATCAATGTCACTAACAAGGGATTGCTGCACTCCTTCGACCTCCCAAAGGCAGTTTGCCTTGAGTTTTCACCAAAAAACACTGTCCTGGCAACGTGGCAGCCTTATACTAGTAAGTATTTTCCAATTGTAAAAATATTGACAGGACCAATTCAATTCAGTGGGAAAAAAAGAGAAGGTTTATAACCTTATACAAAAGTAATTAATCATTAGATAGTAAATAGTGTTTGTATCTTTACTGAGCAGTGAATCTTGTATTGCCCCAATATAATGTACTTTAAGTAATTTCAAATTAGTGGAAAGATTCATCATGGGATAGAGAAAAAGAAAAAGCTCAAATGAATAATCACTGAATGGAGAAGATCTCAAAAATTAAGGATAATAATGACCCTTAAATGAAAAATGTTTTAAATAATCATTTTCAATCAAAGAGGAAGTATAATAGACACAACATGTAAGAAATGTGTATGATGTGACAAAGAGTAGGGAATGGTGTGCCATTTTTTAACATATTTAAAGACAAGATAGTATGTTATATGGCTGTGCTTCATGGATGAATAATACTTTAGAACTGGTATAGGGGCTTTTTAAACATGTTTTAATAATGTGGGCATTGTTGAGTTAAATATATAATAGTCCATTGTTGGGTTATAAATCCTCTAGGTTTATTCTTCCAAGAGGCATAGACTTGAATGAATCTTCACTTCCAAGTAAATAAAAGGGAAATTGAGAATCATGAGTAGTATATGTAACTTCGTGTGTTTGTGTGTTTGACTTACAGACATGAGATTTCATAATAAGAGAATTTAATCCATTTAACTGCAAACCATGTCAAACTTAGTAAACAAGTCTCTTAAGTATTCTTAAAATCTATAGTAATTAACTCATTTCAGAAATGCTGAACTTTTGCTCAAACAGCTGTCATGTTGTCCATAGCTTTAGGGATGGATGATTAAATCCATAATTAAAGCTAAAAGGGAAAGTTGATTTAAAGCAACTCTTTTACTTGATCTTTATAATCTTGTTCAAAGTTGTTCTAAGAATGAATTCTTTTTACTAATGTTAGGAGACAATTACGGCAAAAAATTTTTGTTTTTATTTTAGCTTCTAAAGATGGCACAGCTGGAATACCCAACCTGCAACTTTATGATGTGAAAACTGGTACATGTTTGAAGTCTTTCATCCAGAAAAAAATGCAAAATTGGTAAATAAATGTTTTAAAATACTGATTATTTACAAAGTATTTTAAATATCTTCATTGTATAATATTTCTTCTCAGGTATTCGTATAGAAAATAACTTGTCAGACCAAAATCTAGATCTTTAGGGATTTTGTATGTGGGAATTTAATAGAGGAAAAACTTGACCTTTCTTTTGTTTAGTATTTGAATGAAAAAGAATATCTTTCTAGTACAAATTCTACTAGGATCTGACTTGACATCAATTTATAAGTATTTTTCCTTAAATAGAATTATCACAAACTTCAACATGTTAACATGTGAGGTTATACCTGTCTAAATTTTGTTCACATTCTTTCTTTTCAACATAGGTGTCCATCTTGGTCAGAAGATGAAACTATCTGTGCCCGAAATGTTAACAACGAAGTTCACTTCTTTGAAAACAACAATTTTAGTATGAAAATATATATGAAATAAATTTATTATGTACTATAAATGTATATAGTTTTATTGCCTTATATGGTATCATAGGGTTCTCCTAAATACTGTTAATATTTTAATAATTGCTGTTATATTAATTCATTTGAATAACTTTTATTAAGTCTAAGTGCTAACTAAAATTCTATAACAAAGATTTTCTTTTAAAATAAGCTTTTATTATCCAATAATTGCTATTAAATTAAGACATTTGCATAAAGACATTGCATTAACTCTTTCTGAGTTTAGTTGCTATTGAAATTCTGTGATACAAATTTTTTAAATGTTTTATTATGTAGAATTTGAAACATAAAAGTAGACACCTAGTCCCAATAACCTTCAACCCATTGCCAGTCCTACCTCATCCATACATCTCTCTACCTAACACCTCTCTTACTCTGCTAAAGCAGATCCTAGACATAACATGATTTTTCCTATATGAAGATTGGGGCTCTTTAATTTTTTAAAACGTAGCCACAATACCATTATCACAGATTATAAAATATCTGGTCAGTGTTCAAATTCTGATAATTGCAAATGTTATAATTTTTTTTTAAACGTGGGCTCCAAATAAGGTTCCTCACATTGCAAATTGATACATATATCTTTTAAGCTTCTTTTAAGCTATAGGTTCCCTTTCCATCTCTTCCACACTGTGTGGGAACAACACAGACCTACACTTGAATTCCTATCCGGTCACTTACTAGCTGGGTGACCTTGGTGAGTAATGGGACTGCACATCTAACTCTCACTGATTGATTTTTATCAGTGGGAGTGCCCCCCCCTTGAGATTTATTATTAAAGAAACAAGGTTATTTTTCATATATCTTCTCATAGTTAAATTTTGCTACTGTATCCTGTCCTATAGTTTAACATGTTCATCTGTCCCCTAAATAGCTACTTGGATCTAGAACTGCTCAGCTTCAGATTCTTCTTTTTTGGGGAGATGAAGGCAAGTCTACCTCATAAGTGGTGCTCAATTCTTTCATCAAGAAGCACATAACATCTTATGGTCTTTAATTTTGTAGGATTAGCTGACATTAATGTTCATTGCCTAGGTCCATTATTTCATGAGTGGTTACAAATTGGTGATTTTCCAAGTCTCCCCACCTCCCCTATCACTTATAAGCTATATTACTTCTATAGAGAAATTCCCCCACGTACTACTTGGTTACCTAGTGGTACCATTTATATAGGAAAGAGCACTGTTCTCTTAAAATCAGTCAGTGGGAGTTAGATGTGCAGTCTCGTTACTTACCAAGGTCTCCCCGTTTGTAAGTGACTGGGTAGGAATTCAAGTGTAGGTCTGTGTTGTCCCCACTCCACCTTGTCTCCACCATGCTGCCTTACCTACATGAGACTACAATGAGTAGTATCCATGTATAGTTACATTAATCTTTTATAATGCATTCAGAATTGATCATGTTCCTATTAGCTTCTCTCTTTCATCTAACACTATTTCCTTTTTTTTTAGACACAATTGCAAATAAATTGCATTTGCAAAAAATTAATGATTTTGTGTTATCACCTGGACCCCAACCATACAAGGTAATTTCTGTGTTTTTGTTCATGTGGAATGTTATTAGATTAAACCTTTTCCTGGTTCTTAGTGACTGTAAAAGCATGTCCATCTTAGTTTATATGCCTCAAAAAATGAAGTGATGATTTATATGTGTGTATTTCAGGTGGCTGTCTATGTTCCAGGAAGTAAGGGTGCACCTTCATTTGTTAGATTGTATCAGTACCCCAATTTTGATGGACCTCATGCAGCTTTAGCTAATAAAAGTTTCTTTAAAGCTGATAAGGTTACAATGCTATGGAATAAAAAAGGTATGATGATTATATTTTATCTCATTTATCAAGTATTGAGGCATACTCCTGTATGTTTAGAAAAAAAGAGTATCAATGCTTATTTAATGAAAATGTGCTCTGTTACATTTTTTAATTTTTTTTTCTTATCACCATTAGGTTAATTTGTGTTTTAAATCTTAACTAAAGTTTTTACTGTTACAGCTACTGCTGTGTTAGTAATAGCTAGCACAGATGTCGACAAGACAGGAGCATCCTACTATGGAGAACAAACACTGCACTACATTGCAGCAAATGGAGAAAGTGCTGTTGTGCAATTGCGTGAGTATCCCAGTCATCTTCTTGTGATAAAACAATAGAGCACTATGCCATAAAGAGAATCTAATCCAAATTCTTGATCACGTGATAAAACTCAAATATTTTAATAGCCTTTAAGGTGAAATTTCTCTTAGTTAATAAACTTACTGTCATCCCCACACATAGATTATTTTGACAAAATCCAGTTAATTTAGTTCTGGGGAACTTGATAAGTGAAATAATTTCATTGTAGCAACTCTTTGGGGACTTATTTATTATGACAGTAAGTTGGTCTAGTGGGTTTAGCATTGTCTTCAGAACTGAGGAATGTTACCATTTCATCTTTTGTTTTGATGATATAAATTGCTATAGAATAATACAGTTCTAAAATTCTGCAACTTCTTGATTTTTCATTTTGAACTGAATATGTAAAAGTAAGAAACTTCATTATAAAAAAACTATGTATTCCCTTTGAAGTCTGAAAGGAAACAAGGATGACTCCTCTTTCTACTATAATTTAACATTCTGAAAGACCTAGTCAGTGTAACTGATCAAAAGAATAAATACACAATTTTGAAAGGAGAAAACAGAATCATATCTGTGCATGTACATGAAGTCACAGTATAAACAGCCACTTAAAAAACATAATGGAAGGAAAGATCCCATATAGACTAACATAAAGGCAAGAAATAAATAGGACTAATGGGAAGAAAACTTCAAAATTTTAAGGGACAGAGTGTGACCTTTATTTTTATTTTTATTTTTTTTAAGATTTTATTTATTTGACAGAGCACAAGCAGAAGGAGAGAGAGGGAGAAGCAGGCTCCCTGCTGAGCAAGGAGTCTGATGTGGGACTCGATCCCAGGACCCTGGGATCATGACCCGGGCTGAAGGGAGCTGCTTAACCGACTGAGCCACCCAGGCGTCCCCAGTGTGACCTTTATTAAGAAGAGTTTTATGGGCGCCTGAGTGGCTCAGTTGATTAAGCGTCTGCCTTCAGGTCAGGTCATGATCCCAGGGTCCTGGGATCGAGTCCCACATTGGGCTCCCTGCTCAGCGGGCAGTCTGCTTCTCCCTCTGCTTGTACTCTCTCTCTATCAAATAAATAAGTAAAATCTTAAAAAAAAAAAAAAAAAAGACTTTTATAAAGATGTCATTTCTCTCCAAATTAACCTAAAAATTAAAATGCCGTTAGGTGTTTTTTTTTGAACTAGATAAACTGATTCTAAAGTTGATTTTTTTTTTCCCTTTTTTCCTCATCTTTTCTCTTTAATTTATTTGAGAGAGAGAGAGAATGAGCAAGCATGAGCAGGGGGAGGGGCAGAGGGAGAGGGACAAGCAGATGCCCCGCTGAGCGGGGAGTCCCAACACAGGGCTCAATCCCAGGACCCTGACATCATGACGTGACCTAAAGTCAGATGCTTAACTGACTGAGCCACTCAGGCACCCCAACCTTTTTTTCTAATCTTAAAAGTGAAAAAAAGATTTTCTAACAAGGCGGAATAATAAAGGAAAAGTGAATATATAAAATATAGATTTCTAGGGGCACCTGGGTGGCTCAGTCAGTTAAGCCTCTGCGTTTGGCTCAGGTCATGATCCCAGGGTCCTGGGATCAAGTCCTGCATCGGGCTCCCTGCTCAGTGAGGAGTCTGCTTCTCCCTTTCCTCCTGCTTGTGCGCACTTGCTCACTCTCTCTCTTTCTCAAATAAATAAATAAATAAATATTCTTAAAAAAAATATATAGATTTCTACATTGGTGGGAAGAAAAGCCCATAAATTAAGCAAGACAAACAAAAAATTGGGGAATAAATTTTTTAGATGGACAAGGGATGAATATGAGAAAGGTGAATTTTATTAATCTATTAAGTAAATAAGTAAAAGACCAATAACTGGAGAGAAAAATAAGCATGGGACAGTAAAAGTCCGCAGAAACAGAAAAAGGTTATGTATAAATATATTAAAAGGTGCTTAGTTTATAATAAAAGAATAGGAAGACAAGTGAACAGTTTTTCTCTTAGTAGCTTGGCACAGATAAGGCGTGAGGGAGAGTGAGGGGAAAATATGTACTCTCAAGAACTGCTGATGGGGCGCCTAGGTGGCTCAGTCAGAGGAGCATGTGACTCTTGATCTTGGGTTGTGAGTTCAAACCCCACGTTGGGGGTAGAGATTGCTTTAAAAAAAAAGAAAGAATCTTAAAAAAAACCCACCTTTTGATAGTATAAAATGGTACAACTTCTCTGAGGGGCATTATGGCCTATCGAGTAAATGTACACACCTTTGAGCAGCCAGGTTCACTCCCACAGATGTGTCTGTGTACACTCACCGTTGAGAATATACAGGAATACAGTACCAGTGGAAGAGTGAGGCAGATCTTAATGTGCTTATGTGGAAAAATCTCCAAGATAGGGTACTAAATGAAACAGCAAAGAACTTTAGTGTGAGTGTGTATGTGTGTTTAAGAGAGATGCTTAATTTAAACAAAAATATTCTGAAAGCATATACAAGGAATATAATAGAGGATTGCCTTTTTGTAGAGGGTCTTAATTAGTGGCATATCATTTTGTTCCTGTGTGCCTACATTACCTCTTCTAATGAAAACTAGTTTATTAATAGGACTAATAATGTATGTTTCTATGAGCCTACATTGCCAAAATGTTTAAAAGAAATTAAGATAAAGCATTTATCTCCATAGTATATCATATAAAAATATTTTAATTGTAACGTATCTTCTAATTTTTGGATTTTTTTTTTTTTTTTTACTGTTTGACATGTTTATGAGTATTATATGCTTATAACTTGGCTACTATTATATTCATGTAATGATTTATTGCTAATTTGGGTTTTATATTCTTCTAGCAAAAAATGGTCCCATTTATGATGTCGTTTGGAATTCTAGTTCTACTGAGTTTTGTGCTGTTTATGGTTTTATGCCTGCCAAAGCGACGATTTTCAACTTGAAATGTGATCCTGTGTTTGACTTTGGAACTGGTCCTCGTAATGCAGCCTACTATAGCCCACATGGACATATATTAGTACTAGCTGGATTTGGAAATCTGAGGGGACAAATGGAAGTGTGGGATGTTAAAAACTACAAACTTATTTCTAAACCAGTGGCCTCTGATTCTACCTATTTTGCTTGGTGCCCTGACGGTGAGCATATTTTAACAGCCACGTGTGCTCCCAGGTTACGTGTTAATAATGGGTACAAGATTTGGCATTATACTGGCTCTGTCTTACACAAGTATGATGTGCCGTCAAATGGAGAATTATGGCAGGTTTCTTGGCAGCCATTTTTAGATGGAATATTTCCAGTAAAAACAATAACTTACCAAGCGGTTCCAAGTGATGTACCCAGTGAAGAACCTAAAGTTGCAACAGCTTATAGACCCCCAGCTTTAAGAAATAAGCCAATCACCAATTCCAAACTGGTAAGTAAAGTTTTACTACTTTGGTGGGAAAAGACTTCAGTGTATGGAGTTCTCTAGACCTTTTTCTCATGCATGTTCTTGCGTTACTTAGCACCTGATTAGAATATAAACTCTAGAGTAGAAACCATGGAGGACCTACTGCTGAAGATGGTGAACACCTAACATTGTCAAGTTGACAAAGTAGTCAATTTAAAACAGTTTACGTTTTACATCTGTGGGGAAGAGAACAGTATGACATACTGGCTTTATAGAGATCATGGACTCAAATTCAGATGCCTGTCAGGCTAGGCTGGCCATGCAAGGCTTTGGTGACTGGGAGAGAATGGTGAAAGGGAGAGACCATGCTCTCTTTAAAGGCCATAGCAACTGCACAGCAGCAGCCGATTGTTTCCATAGGAGATTTAGGCCCAGTTTGCCAAAATGTTTGATTTTCCAAGACAAAACAAGTCTGGATGCTTATGTAAAATTTCTCAATTTTTGAAACACTGTTGGTCAAACAAAACATACTTGTTTTCCTTAGGCTGTCAGTTCCCATTGGTATCGTAAAGTTAGGACCAGAGCATTGGTCAGATTCTCATCTGCTTTAAAATGTTAGCATTTCGGAGCCCGGGGGAAGCATTTATTAATGACCTGAGTCTCTGGGATGATGTTAAGGAATAAAGTTGCTCTGTAAGAATGAACAACAATATTACTGGTATTATAAAGGTGGACATACAATAGGTGTAAACTGGAACCAAGTAAACAGGGATATATAGTCACTTAAATATTAGGCACTCAGGGAAGTAGATACTTTTTCAGAGGATAAATATTCCTATGCCTCCCTCATGCCACTCCTAACCTTCTCAAAAACAAAAACAAAACAATAACCCTTCTTCCTCCACAAAATCTAGCAGTGGTCTATAACTTCTTAACTTCACTGAAATGTTCTGTTTAAACATTTTTGTTGTATTATTTACTAAAAACATATAAAAGTTATGAACAAATTAAGCCCCATTTATGATATTTGGCATTTAGGTTAAAATTTGTCTTCTCTCTATATTAAAGTTTTCCTTACCTAAGATAAAAACAGAAGTAACCTCAACATATCCTGCTTTCTAAATATCTATATGGTAGCACAAGAGGAATAAATTCTGAATCAGTATATATTTTTATTCTCTGATTCATAAAACTAATTTGTCTTGATAGGGAGAGAAAGAGAAATATACTTTGAAAATAGTGATAAAACTTGCTAAGAAAGTCTTAAAGCCAACATTGTTTTAAGATTTAAGATTTCCACTAAATTTTTGTTTTTGTATGTGACATGGTGATTATGTGATCCTATCAAATCATTTTAGTTGAAGGAACCACATGCCCAGTGAGAAATTTTTGTGTCAAATTCCAGAAATGAGCTAAATGGCAAAAAATACTGTCAAGAAATTACCCGAAACAAAGACATTCTAGTAAATAACTTCACAAAGGAGGAGGGTTAATTAGTAAAAGGGAAAAAAAAAAAAGATGGGATTCTCTCTCAAAAAACTTACTTTTTTTATAAATAAAAATTCACGTATGAATTACACTGAGGTATTTCTTGGCTTTCCAAAAAAACCCCTTCACTTTTTTTTTTTTTTTAAGATTTTATTTATTTATTTGAGAGAGAGACTGAGATAGAGAGAGCATGAGAGGGGGGAGGGTCAGAGGGAGAAGCAGACCCCCCGCTGAGCAGGGAGCCCGATGCGGGACTCGATCCAGGGACTGCAGGATCATGACCTGAGCCGAAGGCAGTCGCTTAACCAACTGAGCCACCCAGGCACCCAAAACCCCTTCACTTTTATAATGTATTCATCAAAACAGACCCACAATAATTGATATAAATGAAAAAACAAATTTTATAAATAGGGATGAAATTATGTACAGTGGGCACAGTACTAAAGCCAGAAAAGCTCATGATCCCTAGTAGCCGTGTGGATTTTTTGTGTGTGTCTGAAATGAAAGTCTGTCAGTGACTACATCATGTTCATAGTGTAGAAGACCTTATAATGCGTCCTTCTTTACTTCATTTTTAATTGCTTTGTCATTTTTTTGAGGTTCTTATGACTAGAAACTTCTCACCCAAAGCAAGGTACTGTAGGAGAGCCCGCTATGGAAAGAATTTTGATGTGTAAAACAAATGTTCAGCAAGTACTGCTGTGTCTTAACTAACGTTGTATGCAGTGTGGATAACAAAGAAGTGAAAGAGACTTGCCATCAAATTGTCTGTTCTACAAGTGTGGGTTCTCAAATACTCAGTTACTGCAGGTAGAGCATGTACACACACAGAACTTTGATGACCTGAAGTAGTTGATGCAGCTAAGATAGTCACAGTATGGTTTCTTATTTCTTCCTCTGTATCTTCAGTGTTTGAGCCCTGCCCATTTCCTCATAGCACTTATAAGTACCACGTGGATCTGAGATCTAATACTTAAGAAGCTTCATGGAGATCTGGTTCTTTTGATGTGCTGAGTATGATAGAGTCTAAGAGACAGTTAACACTGAGATAGCAGCAGTTTGGAGGGAAATCAGTAAGTAAACGTGAACCTGTTAAGAAGCTGTAGTTCCATCACACATGCTCCCTGTTGCCTCAAGCAACTGTGGAGATGACTTAAACCTGTGTATGTGTATTTTTTTTATTGAAATATAACTGATATGTAAAATTGCAAGATATTTAAAGTGTACATCATGGTGTTTTGATATAGGTTTACATTATGAGAGGATTCCTCCCATCTAGTTAGTTAATGAATCTATCACCTCGCTTTTTTTTTTTTTTTTTTTTTTTTTTTTTTTGCGGTGAAAATATTTGAGTTCTCAGCAAATTTCAATTACACGATAGTGTTATCCACCATAGTCACCATGTTTTATACCAGCTCCTCCTTGATCCTATCCTTAATTCACCCTTTCTGTTGTGGAATATAGTTGATGGGTGGTTATATAAATATCTCATGATGGAAATGATTATCTGTTTTTTTTATTATAGTCTGAAGTTTTTTGTGGGCCTCTTCATTATGTTAATCCTGGATTTACAAATATGCAGTTACCACTTCCTATTTGGTATTTTTTCTCCTGGTCTGTTTTAGTTTTTAATTTGCTTTTATTTTTAAGCTTCTAATCTCTGATTTTGCATGTAAAGACCTAGAAGTAATTCTTTGTGCAAAGAAAGCAAATGAGGCAATTGGGTTTCTGTTGGCAGTAGTCAGATCCCAAAAGATCCCGGAAGAAGCTGTTGTTAGTATCTAATTTCATATGAAGCATGTGTCAGTAATAGTACTAAGAAAAGTCCCATTGTTTAACAAAGCTATACAGTATTTTGCCAGCACTTGTATAACTGAAAGACATCATATATCAGCTAATAGGAAGATACTCATTAAATTAAATCCATCCTTGACAGTTGGAGTGTGTCTACTACTGATACGAGTTTTGAAATATTCTTTACCAGTGATATGAAATTTAATAAAATGTTTATCCCACACCAACAAAATTGTATAATTTGTGATACATGTTTTTAAAAGCATGGATTCCATTTCACAATCGTTTGTTTCACATTTTCCACAGCATGAGGAGGAACCACCTCAGAATATGAAACCACAAGCAGGAAATGATAAGCCATTATCAAAAACAGCCCTTAAAAATCAAAGGAAGCATGAGGCTAAGAAAGCTGCAAAACAGGTATTTGGGACACTAATCTTTTTGAAACAAAATAAGCAAAATTGGTTAAATTAGCTTAATTTAAGCCTCAAAGTTTAAAGATTATAGTCCTAAAGATTTGACTATTATGGGTTTTTTGGTTTTTTGTGTTTTTTTTAAGATTTATTTATTTAGGGGCACCTGGGTGGCTCAGATGGTTAAGCCCTCGGCTCAGGTGATGATCCCAGTGTCCTAGGATCTGGCTCAGTGGAGAGTCTCCTTCTCCCACTCCCTCTGCCTCTCCCCCTGCTCATGGTCTCTCTCTCTGTATCTTTCGGTCTCAAATAAATAAAATCCTTAAAAAAAAATTGAAAAAAAGATTTATTTATTTGAAAGAGAATGCATGCACGTGCACACGAGTAGGGGCAAGGGCAGAGGGAGAGGGGGAGAGAGAATCCTCAAGCAGACTCCCATGCTGAGCACAGAGCCTGACAATGCGGACAACGTGGAGCTTAATCCCAGGACCCTGAGATCATGCTCTGAGCCCAAATCAGGAGTCGGCCGGCTGCTTAACCAGCTGAACTGCCCAGGCACCCCAACACTTGACTACTGTGTTATAAAATGTAGTTGGAGTTAGACTTAAATAGCCAGAATGCCTTTTCTTTTGTGTTTGCCTATGAATTTCTGAGTAGTTCTGTTTGTATAATGAGGAAGTGAGGAAAGTGGATCTGGCCTTAAAACCTTAAACCCTAATGGGATTGTGTAGTGTGTTACTTGTTATAGACCCTTCTGTTGAACCCAGTGTGAAGTGGTATGGTTTGCTCTCTGAAAGCGTATGTTTGTTAAGAGAGATCAGAAATTGCATGACCATAAAGCCATTTTGTTACTCAGTATAACATTACTATAGGAAATTGTTCAACTGGGAGTCTGAACACCAGAAGTACCCAAAACAATGGAATTGTTCTAAAATAATTTTTTATGTGATTTTATAGTTGAAAAACCATACCAGTGTAATAACTGATAAATTATGATTGTGTATGGCTTATGGTGATAGTGCAATCAGTTAGGCTAGGAGTATCTGGTTAGTGAAATCATCATGACCACATTTTTAAGATTCAGATAATGCAGACTTGCTGGTAATGGTTGAATTTTGACAATTCTAGATTGTTTATGTGTTTTGGTAGGCAATTACTATTTTAAGGCATAGAATTGCATTATGCAACCATAGTCTGCTGAAATCTGAGCTTTAAAAAAAAATCAGTGTGCTCTTTTGTAGTTAATATATTTCATCTCCAGAAATATCTTTTTTTTTTAAGATTTTATTTATCTATTTGACAGAAACACAGCGAGAGAGGGAACACAAGCAGGGGGAGAGGGAGAAGCAGGCTTCCCGCAGAGAAGGGAGCCCGATGCGGGACTTGATCCCAGGACCCTGGGATCATGACCTGAGCGGACAGCAGACACTTAACGACTGAGCCACCCAGGAGCCCCTCCAGAAATATCTTTAAATAGGTCAGGTTTAGATCATTCTAAGCATAATGATCTATTCCATGTATTTGACTTGTATAAAAGCAGGAATTGTCCTTTCATCATGTGAGTAGAGATCTCTTACTGGCCCTGAATATTACAAGTTAGTAGTATCCTTTTAAGTACTGGTAGATAAGATTTCTTCTTTTTTTTTTCCTAGCTAATATTTTCAGGCATAATTGACAAAAATTGTTAAGTGTACAACGTAATAAGTTGTTATAGGTAAACATTGTGAAAAGATGCCCACAGTTGAGTTAATTAACACATCCATCACTTTACACATTTACTTTTTGAGAGGTGAGGACACTGAAGTTCTACTCTTTAGCAAACTTCAGTTATACAGTACAGTATTATCAGCTGTGGTCACCATGTTACATATTAGGTCCTCAGACTTTATTCATCTTATAACTGGAAGTTTGTACCCTTTTACCAGTCTGTCCCCATCCCCCCCACTCCATAGCCCCTGGCAACCACCATTCTAATCTTTGTTTCTAAGAGTTTGACTTTATTTTTTTTTATTTTTTATTTTTTTAAAGATTTTATTTATTTATTTGAGAGAGAGAATGAGAGAGAGCACATGAGAGGGGGGAGGGTCAGAGGGAGAAGCAGACTCCCTGCTGAGCAGGGAGCCCGATGCGGGACTCGATCCTGGGACTCCAGGATCATGACCTGAGCCGAAGGCAGTCGCTTAACCAACTGAGCCACCCAGGCACCCTGACTTTATTTTGAATAGATTCCACATATAAGTGATACCATCCAGTGTTTTCTTTCACAGTCTGGCTTATTTCACTTAGCATAATCCCCCCAGGTTCATTCATGTTGTTGCAAATGGTAAGATTTCCCTTTTTTTTTCCTTCCTCAAATATTTATTATTTATTTGAGAGAGAGAGTGCACTCTAGAGAATACGAGCAGGGGGAGTAGCAGAGGGAGAGGGAGAAGCAGGCTCCCCACTGAGCAAGGAGCCCAATGTGGGGCTCGATCCCAGGACCCAGGATCATGACCTGAGCTGAAGGCAGATGCTTAACCAACTGAGCCACCCAGGCGCCCCTGAATAATAGTCCATTTTATATATATATTCCACATTTTCTTTATCCATTCATCCATTGATGAACACTTCAGGTTATTTCCACCTTGGCTATTGTGAGTAATGCTGTAATGAACACAAGAATATAGGTATCTCTTTGAGATAATGATTTTGTTTCCTTTGGTATATCTCCAGAAGTGGGATTACTGGATCATATGGTAGCTCTATTTTTAGTTTTCTGAGGAACCTCCATACTGTTTTCCATAGTGGCAGTATAAGATTCCTTCTCATTGAGATTTAAGGGCCTTTGAAACCCACTCAACTTAAGAATCCTATTTTTATAAATGATGTTTCTTCCTCTTTATTAGAAGATTATTTATTTATTTTAGAAGATTTTTTAAAAGTTTTTATTTGAATTCCAGTTAGTTAACATACAGTGTAATATTAGTTTCAGGTGTACAGTATAGTGATTCAACACTTCCTTACAACACCCAGTGCTCATCACAGCAAGTGCACACCTTAACCCCCATCACCTATTTAACCCATCCCCCGCCCCCCACCTCCCCTCTGGTAACCATCAGTTTGTTCTCTATAGTTGTTAAGAGTCTGTTTCTTGGTTTGCCTCTCTCTCTCTCTTTTTCCCTTTGCTTGTTTGTTTTGTTTCTTAAATTCCACATCTGAGTGAAATCATACGGTATTTGTCTCTCTCTGACTTACCTTGCTTAGCATAATACTCTCTGGCTCCTTCCATGTCATTGCAAATGGCAAGATTCATTCTTTTTTATGGCTAATAATTCCATTGTATGTATATACCACATCTTCTTTATCCATTCATCAGTCGATGGACACAATCTATTTCCATAATTTGGCTCTTGTAGATAATGGTGCTATAAGCATTGGGGTGTATGTATCCCTTTGTATTAGTATTTTTGTATTCTTGGGTAAATACCTAGTAGTGTGATTGCTGGATCGTAGGGAAGTTCTATTTTTAATTTTTTGAGGAACCTCCATACTGTTTTCCAGAGTGGCTATACTAGTTTACACTCCCACCAATAATGCAAGACTGTTCCCCTTTATCCACATCCTCACCAACACCTGTTGTTTCTTGTGTTGTTGATTTTAGCCATTCTGACAGGTGTGAGGTGATACCTCATTGTGGTTTTGATTTGTTTCCCTGATGATGAGTGATGTTGAGCATCTTTTCACATGTCTGTTGACCATCTGTGTGTTTTTGGAAAAATGTCTATTGAGATGACTGGTTGGAGTTAGTTATGGTCGTGTGATAGAACAAAGGAAAATGGTCCATGACAAGATCCACTTTCTCAGCCCTCTGAGTTAAGTAATCAAAGATGAAGGAGTCAGAGGTATATAATCTAAACAAGTACTTTTATAAACTGGTGATGACTTTATAAGCTTATGAACTTTACCAAAAGGAATTTAAACTAAGAATTTAATCTTACCATATATGCATCATTTTCAGAGAATGACCAGAATTTAAGTATAATAAGACATTTTAACTTACTCTTGGTTATTTAAAATATGGTAGAAAGTTAAATTTCATACACTTTAATAGATTTTCAAATGTACTGACATTAACCTTCTTTCCTAGAAGAAAATTTTCTCAGCTGTTTGCAAACTAAATTTTTAAAATTCTTACTTGATATCAAAAGTGAATTTTGATAGGCAAAGTATCTCTCTTCTCCTTTTACCCACTCTTCTCCTTTAGTTTTCTTTTTTTTTTATTCTTATGTTAATCCCCATACATTACATCATTAGTTTTAGATGAACCTTTAGTTTTCTATTATGAAAATACCGAACTACATATTAGAACTTGTAGGCTTCTTTTTTTTTTTTTAAGTTGTTTCATACTAGTTTATTTAGGGGTTCCATTTTCGCTCCTCAATAGATTTCTCATATGCTTCTTCACTCATTAATTCATCCAGCTCTGAAGGATTACTGAGTGCTATCTTGATCAGCCAACCATCTTCATAACAAGATTTGTTGACAAGTCCTGGATTTTCTGCAAGAGCTTCATTAATTTCAGTTACTAATCCTGATAGAGAATAGAGTTCACTAGCAGCTTTCACACGTTCCAAAGCACCGAACTCATCTTGTTTGTTCAGTTTTGTCCCAACTTCACACAGACTACAGTAAACAACATCTCCCAAAGCTTCCTGTGCAAAATTACTGATTCCCACTGTTCCAATACCATTTTCTGTTGTTATCCATTCATGTTTGTGAATTTACGCACGGAGAGCACAGCAGAGCCCGTGCGCAGTGTCTGGACGGCGCCCGCCCTCAGCCCCCAGAGCCGCGGCAGGCAGCGCGCGGTGGGCGCGGAGGCGACGTGCAGACTGCAGGCCGCAGCCCGCACGCTCCGCACCACTCGCAGCACCATGTTCACAGAGGTGCGGGGGTCGCAGTGCAAGCGGCTCGGGCACCCCAGCCGGCAGGGGCGGGGCAGGGGCGGGGCCACAACTTCCAGGCTTCTTAAGAGTAGAATCTAAACAGTTTCTTTCTGACTACTTTGTTAAGTGCTTTGCTCAGTAATGCGTTTTTACATAGAAGGTTAGAAATTAATATTTGTTGAATTGGAATGTACAAAAAGTACAACTAACATGACTTTAAAAAGAAAAAGTGACTCCAATTCTATACTCTCCAAAAACTCTCAGGCAGACATTCCTAGATATGAAGATATAGGAGTGATACTGTGTTTCGTGTCCCCCTGGGATGCTTTGGTATTCAGAGCATTTTACCCAGAACTCTGAGTAAGTTTTGGCCTTGGGGCTTTTGTATTCCGCCGGGAACTCTATAAGGAAGAAATAGAAGTCCTATCTTAGGGCCAATAAAGCCTTATATAACTTTTTTTCCCCCCCTCTTGTCAAAATGTATGTCTTGTCATAATTACAAAAGGAGAGTAGTTCTTTGACTACTTCATTTATTTAGCATGTGCAGTAAAGCAGGTCTTATGCTGGGGGCACAAACAGAACAATGAACAAAGAAACCTCTGGTATAGTCGTCTAATGGGGGATAGTACAATACACTGTTACAGTAGGAATACATACCACGTATTGTGCAACTAATCCAGTCTTTTGGGTTGGGAGAGAATTTTCCAAAAGGCCTAAAGGATAAATAGGGTCAGCCAGGTAACCTGAAGTTGTTCTAGCACACACAAAGGCCAGGAAACAAGTATATGGCACCTGAGGGGAAATCGAAGTGGTTCAGAATCAGAGGTCTGATCACACTGAGAGCAGCCTCCCTTTGAGTTTTCCTTGGCAGAGCTGCACTGATCTGATTATAAATAAATCTCTGTAGGACTTAATCCGGTAACATTATCCATTACATGTACTTGATCATACATACTCATTAGAGTTTTGGAGGACATCGTGAAAGTGAAACTTCAGACACCTTAAATTAGAAGAGCCCTCTCACATTTATAAACCATTCATATAGTGGCACATCCCAAAATATCTGAAAATTTGGAATGCTTGTTGGCTGATACAGAAACCTCCTGGTTTTTTCTGCTAAAGTCATTTCATTTCTTTTCATTTGTCCTTTTATTACTAATATAGTATTATTTTTTATTTTATTATTCTACTTTAACTCTAAATTTTAGATCTAGCAAAGTGTTCCCTATGACGATGACATAGTAAAAACCTTTTGGGTGTCTCCTTATACTGTGATTTTCTTTTTTTTTTTAAGTTGTATCTTTCTGTTATGGGACAATGTGGCTACTTCATGAGACCTTCAATTCAGATCATTTATATAAAATGTAGTATAAAAGATAAAATCGCATTTTGGTTTCTGCATTTTATATACCAAGGCTATGTTGGTTGAAATACTTTAGTGTTTTCATTTTAGAAAATTGAATTTTTGAAAATATTTCCTGCAGGAAGCAAGAAATGAGAAGAGTCCAGATTTGGCACCTACTCCTGCCCCACAGAGCACACCACGAAATACTATCTCGCAGTCAACCTCTGGAGACCCTGAAATAGACAAAAAAATCAAGAACCTAAAGAAGGTGAGACACTTAAATAAAAGCCAGATGTGCTTATTGAAAGAAATCCATGAGAAATGTATAAAGATGGCATCTAAGAAGTTTGTGTCAGTTCTGATTATTGCTTTCTCACTATGAAATACTATAATTTGGGAATGGCACTGATTTTAGTTCTATTCCCAGATGTCTAATGGCTGTTATTAGTCTTTATTATTGATTTTTGGAGTAATAAGAAATGTACCTTTGTACAGAAATATGCTGAACACTTTTATACTCAGTATTTCATCAGACATTTGTGAGATAGGTAGGAACAGATATTTATCCCAGTTTTGAAGATGAAGAAACAGAGAGAAAAAGAAATTTATTAATTTGTCGTATTCCAACCAGTTTGTGATGGGGTAAAACCTGGGGTAAAACCAGGTTTCTAGAGTCTTCCCAGGCTGCATGACAAAGTATCTCTTAAAGCCAAAGACATTGTCTGGATACAATGAAGTGCTGGAATAAGTGGTAAAGTTGGTGATATAGTTACATACTTATACATGTACATGTATACCATTACTTGAAAGCTTGAACATTTTTTTGCCAAATCCCATTTTCTTAATGTACTTAATTTTACATCTAAGTTAAAAAACAAAAAATTTTACCTTGGCATTTTAATAGACTAGCCTTGACCCAAAGGTAAAATAACTGATTCACCTTATTCATTTTTCCCATTCATGTGATTGAGTTGTTACTAAGAAAATTTGCATTCTGAATACTGAAATTACTTATTCTTCCTTCTCTTGACTCATTATATTTGATGTTCGCAGAAACTGAAAGCAATCGAACAACTGAAAGAACAAGCAGCAGCTGGAAAACAGCTCGAAAAAAATCAGGTCATTTTTACATGTTTCATTTGTGCATGCAGTCACTACCACTCTTCCCCCTTTTTATTATAAACAATTTTTTAATCAAGTGGGAGAGCATATAAATTTAAAAACTTATTTTGAAAACATGCCATATATTTGGTAAAATGTTTTTACACTTAAACAGAAAGGATAGGGAAAGATAAGATGTAGATCATGGTGAATGAGAGAATCGCTATTTCCGAGAGGCATACTGAAGCCATTGCTGTTAAAAATAAAGGCAACTTATTAAAATAAACATAAGATTCTCTTCCTTCCTATATTTCAGGTTGCACTGCCCTGTTTGCTCCTTTCTCTCCTTCTGAGGGAAGCCCAATTGTAGAATGGGAAATTTCTTGGACCCTCAGTGTTGCAATAAGACAGCATCTGTCCTTTGCCCCCTTGATTCATACCAAGAAACAAATTAGAGCTTGTTTCTTTGTATTTTTAAATCTGTATTTTCCAGTAGATCTGTTAAAGTGTAAATACTCTTTTTATAAATTTTTTATCCTTTGCTGTTTTGGCTGTAGATCCAATAATTATTTTATTTCATTTCCTATTTAATAACTTTGTTGTTTTAAACTTATTTCTAGTTGGAGAAAATTCAAAAAGAGAAAGCCCTTCTCCAGGAGCTGGAAGATTTGGAATTGGGTATTTAAAGATTCACAGAGAGCAAGTTGTTACCAGAAATCAGTGCAAACACATTTTCTGTTAAACCCATTGGTGGACATGAAATATCCATGTGCCCACATTTAATTTTCATCTATAATTTTAACCATTTATCCAAGATTCTGCATATGTGTGAAGTTACTTAATAATGTCTGTTAAATTGATTTTTACATCCTGCATCCTATACCATGTCAACACATGATAAAGAAAAGAAACACATGAACTTTTTAGTAAGTTTGACAGATTGAAAGACAGTGTCATTGGTTTTTTTATTAGGAGACAGTATTTACCATACATGTGAATAAAAACATTTAAATTTAATCATTGTTCGCTTTGTTATAAGTTCCTAAGTTAACATGTCCTTTATTAATTAATCAGACAAGCTTGGGAAATTTTTCCTTTGAATATATAATACGGCTTTTTTTTTTATCCTAAAGAATTATTATATTGTCCAAATTTTAAAGAAAAGCCTTAAAAATCTGAATGTACTAAATTGATTATATTTTTTGTAGTATTTGAAATAGTTTTTCTGCTTAGTTCTAAAGTAAATATACTTTAAAAATAGAAAATAGTAAAACATTTTATTTTGATATTTCAAATAATCTAGTGATTTAAGGATGAAGTAAATATTTTCGAAACATGAACTATGATTATTTTGCTATAGTTGAGTCTCGATTATTTTGATTGTTTATTCATATGATGAAAAAAAGTTGTAATGATAATGCAAGACACTCACCTATGAAAACTAATTTATATATAGTTTTAGAGTCTGTTATAATTTTTTTTTTTATCAGGTTTACATTTAAAGTCACTTTAAAAGTTTGATTAATTTAAGTAATCTCTACACCCAGCTTGGGGCTTGAAATCACAACCCTGAGATCAAGAGTCACACGCTCTCCTGACTGAGCCAACCAGGCACCCTAACATTTGAAACTGCTTTTATTTCATTTGCATTAATACAGGTTTTCATTTTTCAGAGGTAATCTTTAAACTGATAGGTAAAAGAATACAGAAACAGCTTGAGAGATAAAAATAGATAACTGAGTTTACTGACATCCCAGAGCTTCTACTAAGATTTGGTAATTCATTACAGTTGAGTGGTGTTTTGACACAGAGGGATAGTCCAAAATGGCGGAGGAATAGGAGACCTTAGTTTCGTCTGGTCCCAGGAATTCAGCTACATAGCTATCAAATCATTCTGAATACCTGCGAACGCAACCAAAGATCTAAAGGAATAGCTGCAACTCTACAAATAGAAAAGTGACCACTTTCTACAAGGTAGAAGGTGCAGAGAAGTGAATGTGAGGCAATAAATGGGAAGATAAACTGTGAGAGGAGGGAGCCTCTGTCAGCAGTCCCGGAAAGTGATATAGCAGAGTGCAAAATCAGAACTTTTTAAAAGTCTGCTCCAGGGGCACCTGGGTGGCACAGTTGGTTAAGTGTCTGCCCTCGGCTCAGGTCATGATCCAGGGTCCTGGGATCAAGCCCCACATTGGGCTCTCTGCTCAGTTGGGAGTCTGCTTCTCCTTCTGCCCGTCGTGTCAGCCCCCCAACCCCCAGCTCGTGCTCTCTCTCTCTTTCTCTGTCAAATAAATAAAATAAAAAGTCTGCTCTGGAGAGGAACGTCCCTGCCTGAAAGGTGCTCAGGTGGGGCGGAATCCTAGGTGGGACATTGTGGTCTCAGGATCCTTGGGGTCACAGGAAGAGGGGGGTTGCCTGCGTGTGGCAAAGTTCCCAGGCATTGGAGCAGGGAAGCTGGCTGCAACCAGCAATCCCAGGAGTGGGTTCTCAGCTCAGGGTTGCCATAAACCAGGAACTTTGGCACAGTTGGGTGACCACTCTCCAAGCAGGGGCCCAGCAAGCCGCAGAACCGTGGCAAAACCATCGCTCTTCCTCCCCTGGGAGGAGTTGCGTGGGTGCACACCAAAGGAGCCTACAGGGTTTGGAACATGGTCACGTGCCTGAGATAGAAACTCTTGGACACAGGCTGGGTGAGCACACTGTGGATGGAGACCAGGGAGAAGTTTTTCTTTAGAATTTTGGGATCTAGTTTTCTAACAGACCAAAATACACACAGGATCCAGTCTATTGCTCTCTTCTGTTCACCTGTCTGATTATATTCCACCCCCCCCCCGGTTTCAGGTCCCTTCTGATTTGTTTAGTGTATATTTCTCTGGGGTCGTTGTTGTTTTGTTCTCTTGTTCATCTATTCTTCTCTGGACAGAATGACAAGATGGAAAACCTCACCTCAAAAAAGAGAACAAGAGACAGTATGGGACCTAATCAGTATGGATATAAGTAAGATGTCAGAACTAGAGTTCAGAATAACAATTTTAAAGATACTAGCTGGGCTTGAAAAAAGCATAGAAGACACGAGAATCCCTTTCTGGAGAAATGAACTAAAATCTAATCAAGTTGAAATAAAGGCTATTAATGAGATGCAATAAAAAATGGAGGCTCTAACTGCTAGGATAAATGAGGCAGAAGAGAGAATTAGTGATATAGAAGACAAAATGATGGAGAATAAAGCTGAGAAAAAGATAACAACTGGACCACAGAGGAGAATTCGAGAGATAAGTGATCCATAAAGTGAAACAGTGTTAGAATAATTGAGATCCCAGAAGAAGAGGAAAGGGTGGGTGGGCAGAAGGTATACCAGAGTGAATTATAGCAGAGAATTAACCTAATCTGGGGAAGGAAACAGGCATCCAAGTCCAGAGAATCCCTCTCAAAATCAATAAAAATAGATCACACCCCGACATATAATAGTGAAACTTGGAAATCTCAGAGACAGAAAATCCTGAAAGCAGCTCAGGACAAGGAGTCTGTAACCTACAAGAATAAAAACATTAGACTGGCAGCAGACTTATCCACAGAAACCTGGCAGGCCAGAAAGGACTGGCATGATACATTCAGGGTGCTAAATCAGAAAAATATGCAGCCAAGAGTACTTTATCCAACTAGGATGTCATTCAAAATAGAAGGAGAGAGAAAGCTTCCAGCACAAACAGAAACTAAAAGAATTAGATCACCAAACCAGCCGTGTAAGAAATATTAAAAGGGATCCTTTAAGTGAAGAGAGAACCCAAAAGTAACAGATCAGAAGGGAACAGAGACAGTATACAGAAATAGTCACTTTACAGGTAATAATATGGCACTAATTCATATCTTTCAATAGTTACTCTGCATGTAAATGGGCTAAATGCCCCTAATGAAAAGACACAGGGTATCAGATTGGATAAAAAAGCAAGACCCATCAATATGATGTCTGCAAGAGACTCAGACCCAAAGACACCTCCAGATTTAAAGTGAGGGGGTGGAAAACCATGTCATGCTAATGGACATCAAAAGAAAGCTGGGGTAGCCATCCTTATATCAGACAAATTAGATTTTAAACCAAAAACTGTAATAAAATATAAGAAAGGACAGTATATCAAAATTAAAGGGTCTATCCAACAAGAAGATCTAACAATTGTAAATATGCCCCTAACATGGGAGCAGCCAATTATATAAACCAATTAGTAACAAAATTAAAGAAACACATTGATAATAATACAAAAATAACAGGGGACTTTAACACCCCACTCACTGCAATGGACAAATCATCTAAACAGAAGATCAACAAGGAAACAAGGGCTTTGAATGACACACTGGACAATATGGGCTTCAAAATATATTCAGAGCATTCCAACCTAAAGTAACAGAATACACCTTCTCGAGTGCACATGGAACATTCTCCAGAATAGATCACATCCTGGGTCATAAATCAGATCTCAACTGGTACCAAAAGATTGGGATCATTCCCTGCATATTTTCAGACCACAATGCTTTGAAAACTGAACTCATTCACAAGAGGAAATTTGGAAAAAATCAAATATATGGAGGCTAAGGAACATCTTACTAAATGAATGAGTCAACCAGGAAATTAAAGATGAATTTTAAAAAATTCATGGAAACAAATGAAAATGAAAACATAACTCTTCAAAACCTTTGGGATGCAGCAAAGTCAGTCCTAAGAGGGAAGTAGTATATAGCAATACAAGCCTTTCTCAAGAAACAAGAAAGGTCTCAAATACACAATCTAACCTTACACCTAAAGAAGCTGGAGAAAGAACAAATAAAGCCAAAACCCAGCAGGAAAAGAGCATTAATAAAGATTAGAGCAGAAATCAATGGAATAGAAACCAAAAGAACAGTAGAACAGATCAATGAAACTAGGAGTTAGTTCTTTGAAAGAATTAATAAGATTGATAAACCCCTGGCCAGACTTAACAAAAAGAAAAGAGAAAGGACCCAAATAAAATCAGGAATAACAGAGGAGAGATCACAATTACAAGAACATATGAGCAACTGATATGCCAACAAATTAGGCAATCTGGAAGAAAAGGATGCATTCCTAGAGACATATAAGCTACCAAAACTGAACCAGGAAGAAATAGAAAACCTGAACAGACATATAACTAGCAAGGAAATTGATGCAGTAATCAAAAATCTCCCAAAAAACTAGAGTCCAGGCTGGATGGCTTCCCAGGGGAATTCTACCAAACATTTAAAGAAGAATTAATACCTATTCTTATGAAACTGTTTCAAAAAATAGAAATGGAAGGAAAACTTCCAAACTCTTTCTATGAGGCCAGCATTACCTTGATCCCAAAACCAAAGACCTGACCAAAAAAGAATTACAGACTAACATCCCTGATAAACATGGATACAAAAATTCTCACCAAGATACTAGCCAATAGGATCCAACAATACATTAAAAGGATTATTCACCACAACCAAGTGGGATTTATTCCTGGGCTGCAAGGGTGGTTCAACATCTGCAAATCAATCAATGTGGTACACTACATTAATAAGGGACAAGAACCATATAATCCTCTCAATAGATGCAGAAAAAGCATTTGACAAAGTATGGCATCCTTTCTTGATTAAAACTCTTCTCAGTATAGGGATAGAGGGAACATGCCTCAATATCATAAAAACCATACACAAAAAGCCCACAGTGAATATCATTCTCAATGGGGAAAAACAGAGCTTTTCCTCAAGGTCAGGAACATGGCAGGGATGTCCACTATCACCACTGTTGTTCAACATAGTACTAGAAGTCCTAGCCTCAGCAATCAGACAACAAAAAGAAATAAAAGGCATCCAAATTGGCAAAGAAGTCAAACTCTCACTCTTCTCAGATCACATGATACTCTATGTGGAAAACCCAAAAGACTCCACCCCAAAACTGCTAGAACTCACAGGAATTCAGTAAAGTGGCAGTATATAAAATCAATGCACAGAAATCAGTTGCGTTTATATACACCAACAACAAGACAGAAGAAAGACAAATTAAGGAGTTGATCCCATTTACAATTGCACCCAAAACCATAAGATACCTAGGAATAAATCTAACCAAAGAGGCAAAGAATCTGTACTCAGAAAACTATAGAACACTCATGAAAGAATTTGAGGAAGACACAAAGAAATGGAAAAACGTCCCATGCTCGTGGATGTGCAGAACAAATATTGTTTAAATATCTATGCTACCCGAAGCAATCTACACATTCAAATGCAATCCTTATCAAAATACTATCAACTTTTTTCACAGAGCTGGAACAAATAATCCTAAAATTGATATGGAACCAGAAAAGACCCCAAATAGCCAAAGGAATGTTGAAAAAGAAAACCAAAGCCGGTGGCATCACAATTCCGGACTTCAAGCTCTATGACAAAGCTGTAATCATCAAGGCAGTATGGTACTGGCACAAAAACAGACACATAGATCAATGGAACAGAATAGAGAGCCCAGAAATGGACCCTCAACCTGTGGTCAACCAATCTTCGACAAAGCAGGAAAGAATATCCAATGGAAAAAAGACAGTCTCTTCTACAAATGCTGTTGGGAAAATTGGACAGCCACATGCAGAAGAATGAAACTGGACCATTTCCATACACCATACATAAAAATAGACTCAAAATGGATGAAAGACCTAAATGTGAAATAGGAATCCATTAAATCCTAGAGAACACAGGCAGCAACCTCTGTGACCTTGGTTGCAGTAACTTCTTGCTAGACACATCCCCAAAGGCAAGGGAAACAAAGGCAAAAATGAACTATCGGGACTTCATCAGGATAAAAAGCTTTTGCACAGCAAAGGAAACAGTCGACAAAGCTGAAAGACAACCAATAGAATGGGAAAAGATATATGCAAGTGCCTTATCAGATAAAGGGTTAATATCCAAAATCTATAAAGAACTTATCAAACCCAACACCCAAAGAATAATCCAATCAAGAAATGGGCAGAAGACATGAACAGACATTTCTCCAAAGAAGACATGCCACTAGCCAACAGACACATGAAAAAGTGCTCAACATTACTTGGCATCAGGGAAATACAAATCAAAACCACAATGAGATACCACCTCACACCAGTCAGAATGGCTAAAATTAACAAGTCAGGAAAGGACAGATGTTGGTGAGGATGTGGAGAAAGGGGAGCCCTCCTACACTGTTGGTGGGAATGCAAGCTGGTGCAGCCACTCTGGAAAACAGTATGGAGGTTCCTCAAAAAGTTGAAAATAGAGCTGCCTATGACCCAGCAATTGCACGACTAGGGATTTACCCCAAAGATATAAACGTGATCCAAAGGGGCACCTACACCCCAGTGTTTGTAGCAGCAGTGTCCACAATAGCCAAACTATGGAAAGAGCCCAGACGTCCACTGACAGATGAATGGATAAAAATGTGGTATATATATACACACAATGGAATACTACTGAGACATTAAAAAAAAAAAAAAGAAATCTTGCCACTTGTAACTACATGGATGGAACTAGAGGGTATTATGCTAAGCAAAATGAGTCGATCAGAGAAAGACTATTATCTTATGATCTCATATGTGGAATTTAAGAAACAAAACGGAATCATAGGGGACGAGAGAAAAAAAGAAAAGGCAAAATCAGAGAGGGAGACAAACCATAAGAGACTCTTAATCATAGGAAACATACTGAGGATTGCAGGAGGGGAGGGAGTTGGGGATGGGGTAACTGGGTGATGGACATTAAGGAGGACATGTGATGTAAGGAGCACTCGGTATTATATAGGACTGATGAGTCACTGACCTCTACCTCTGGAACTAATAATACATTATATGTTAACTAATTGAATTTAAATTAAAAAAATAAATTTAAAAAAACAATTGTATTTTAAATGTTTTGTGTGTAGAGGGTCGGGGTGGGTGGAAGTGTGTGTGTGTGTGCTTGCACATATATAATTGCTTTCAACATTAATTTATTTCTGATAATAGAAACTTAAACAGATAGATTACTTTTACAATGTATTACCTTAAAAATTGTTTTTCTGGGGCACCTGGATGACTCAGTTGGTTAAGCATCTGCCTTCAGCTCAGGTCGTGATCCCAGAGTCCTGGGATCGAGCCTGGCATCGGGCTCCCTGCTCAGCGGGGAGTCTGCTTCTCCCTCTGTCTCTCCCCCTGACTTGTGCTCTCTCACTCTTTCTCTCAAATAAATAAATAAAATCTTTTTAAAAAATTGTTTTTTTAATAAAATATTAAATAATGCGTCCTAAGATAATGTAATGTTTTTTGGCCTGGCAGCCTAACAATTTTTTAAAAATTAATTACTCATTTATAGCAGAATTTACAGTAAACATTAATTATCTTCAAAATGTTTATCTCAAAGATAGTATCATTGACTTTTGTTTTAGTCAGATGCATTTAAATTGTTCCAGGCTAACTGTTCCTACCAAAATTCTTAGGCTCATATTTTCAGAATTGTCTTTATTTCTGTAATCATTTAATCCATTCAACTCTTAAAAAAAAATGTTTCATTTCTGAGCACATGTCAATATAAAAATCACTGATGTATTCTTTTTTTTTTTTAAAGATTTTATTTATTTATTCATGAGAGACAGAGAGAGAGAGAGAGAAGCAGGCTCCCAAGGAGCAGGGAGCCCGATGCGGGACTCGATCCCAGGACCTTGGGATCATGACCTCAGCCGAAGGCAGACGCTTAACCATCTGAGCCACCCAGGCGCCCCACTGATGTATTCTTTTTTTTTTTTTTTTAAAGATTTTATTTATTTATTCATGAGAGACAGAGAGAAACAGAGGGAGAAGCAGGCTCCCAAGGAGCGGGAAGCCCGATGCGGGACTCGATCCCAGGACCCTGGGATCATGACCTGAGCCGAAGGCAGACGCTTAACCATCTGAGCCACCCAGGCGCCCCCCACTGATGTATTCTTTGACTACATATTTTGTTTGATTTTTATTTTAAACATTATCCTCTGAGAGTAAGGTGATAGAAGAAAGAGGGTAAGGTGATGAAGGTATGCTTGAGGATGAAATTTTAAATACATTGCTGTATTCATTATAAAGGAAAATCTATAAATCCTGGATTTTCATAAAAATCTCCCTTGCTCAATTATCCCAAAAATGTTTTTGGTATTTACCATAAGCATCTCTGAAGGGCATTATAGTCTTGAGGAGAGGCACTTCAGTGGACACAAAGGCTCTCCTTTCATGAGTTAGGCAAGTTTCCCAGTGAGGGAAGAGAAAAAGACCAAAACCCAATTCTATCATTTGAAAAAAAGGAATTGTTTTCTTGGAAAAGAAATAGAGATCATTTGTGTCAAAAAATGCTATGTATGTTGCCAAAAATATAAAATACTGAATATTTTCAATTAACACTATAGTTTCTATGGGTACATTTTTTAAAAAGATTTTATTTATTTATTTATTTATTTAATTGACAGAGAGAGAAACACACACAGCGAGAGAGGGAACAGAAGCAGGGGGGAGTGGGAGAGGGAGAAGCAGGCTTCCAGCCGAGCAGGGAGCCTGATGCAGGGCTTGATCCCAGGACCCCGGGATCATGACCTGAGCCAAAGGCAGTCACTTAACCAACTGACCCAGGCGCCCCTCTATGGGTACATTTAAGTATGCAAACTTAATAGAAAAAGTTTGGTGAGGGTATATACTAAATGGATGACATTGACTAAGGTGGAGGGTGGTCAAAAGGAATGTTAGCCTTATTTGTTATGTTTAATTTTTTATATAAGGAAGATTATAGTTTTATAAAGTTTAAAAATCATAATCAACTGAGACTAGACTTCAGAATAAGAAATTGTCTTCTTGCAGTTCAATATATGACTACCATATGCCTTTCATTTCTAAGATAAGGACTCAGTGTTATGGAGATCGGGTGGAATTCATTTACTCTTCAGAGTATATCTCCTGATGTTTGAGGTAGCATGAAAGGGAAGTAAATGTCTGCAAAAATATGTGATGTTTATAACAGTGAAAATTTTTAATAGTAGGATGGAATACCGTGCAGCCTTAAAAAAAAATGATGCTGTAGACCATGGCTTAGCAGCGACAGCCCTTGGGCTGAATCCTGTGCAGCACAGTGGAGTTTTTGCATTTTTTTAAAAAAGATTTTACTTATTTATTTGTCAGAGAAAGAACACAAGCAGGGGCAGAGGGAGAGGGAGAAGCAGGCTCCCCGCTGAGCAGGGAGCCCAATGCGGGACTCGATCCCAGGACCCCGGGATCATGACCTGAGTCGAAGGCAGACGCTTAACCAACTGAGCCACCCAGGGGGCCCTAGTTTTTGCATTTTTTTTTTAAAGATTTTATTTATTTATTTGGGACAGAGAATCAGAGAGACATGAGAGGGGGGAGGGTCAGAGGGAGAAGCAGGCTCCCTGCCGAGCAGGGAGCCCGATGTGGGACTCGATCCCAGGACTCCAGGATCATGACCTGAGCCGAAGGCAGTCACTTAACCAACTGAGCCACCCAGGCGCCCCTAGTTTTTGCATTTTTAAATGTTTGAGAAATCAAAAGATGATTTGGTGACACATGAAAATTATATGAAATTCAGCTTTCTGTGTCTTTAAAGTTTTATTGGAATACAGCCATACCTGCTTTCATGCTACAGCTGCAGTTGAGTAGTTGCAAAAGACTATGTAGCTTGAAAAGTCTAAAACATTTCTTCTCTGGCCCTTTACAGAAAAGGTTTGCCAAAAAAGAAAAATGAAAAAGTTTGCTAACTTCCACTCTACAAGAATACAAAATAACATGAAAATAATCATAATACAGTATATAGTTATTTTGCTTCTTATATTCTCCACTATATAAATGCCCAGAAGTGGAATTGCTGGTCATATCATATTTAAAAATTTAAATGTTCCTGGGGCACCTGGGTGGCTCAGTCGTTAAGCATCTGCCTTCGGCTCAGGTCATGATCCCAGAATCCTGGGATCAAGCCCTGTGTCAAGCTCCCTACTCATCGGGGAGTCTGCTTCTCCTCTCTCTCTCTCTCTCTCTTCCCCCCTCACTCTCGCGCTCTCTCAAATAAATAAAATCTTTTTAAAAAATTTAAATGTTCCCTTTATTGTGTTTTCCTTCATCAACCTCACCATTTGGGGTTTTTAATCAATTTGTTTTGATATTGGGTACTGCTATCACTCTGAGACCATTGTGTTTACTTAATGGAAGTATGATCGAGTTACTTGAGTGAATCTCATGAATGACTGCAAATTGGCATCTTAACACCTAAACTTTTATTTTTTAAGAAATAAGGCAATGGGCCAGATTGATTTTGATAAGGATTGAACCATTTAAACCTTTATTGTTCAAAAGATTAATGAGCCACCAACCTGCTTCAGATAAACTATTACATTCCTTTTTTGAACTAAATACTTCCAGAATTTATACCCCTTGGCAAGTAAAAGTTACTGTGCTTAAATTCCAAAAGAAATTTCATATCAGAAAGTCTGTGAAATGTGAAAAAGTAGGCTGTTGAGTTTTCCAAAAGTAAATCGTAAGGTAAACATTTTAATCTTGGCTCCTTAGCTGTTTCCCTAAAAACACAATCCATTGACAGCCACAGTCAGCTGAGACTGTGTGTAACCCCTCCATCACATGAGGGCTCAGCCACAGGCCCCCGCAATGTTACCCATCTACAGGGACCACTCAGGGGCAACTGGAGTTGGTGAGGTTAGGTGTCAGGCATGGAAACGCTGCTGCAGTTGTGGGGACGTGTTTACAGTGAAGGCTTATTAATGGAACCTCTCTGGGGCTTGACCAGCTCCTATCTTTACTTCACCTTTTTCTTGGTATGTTGTGGAGATGATACGTGAGCCAACTAGGATGATTCCATCTACTTTCTGTCTTCTAGAGTTCTTACATCTTCTAGACCACTGCCTTCATGCCAGTGTTACCATCGATGTACTACCACTTTCCTGGCATTTTTCTGAGATCCTTAGACAAGAGAGAGCCAAATGCATGTGCTTATTTTGCTGTCTTAAATTAGGAGTCAGAAAAGTGCACTTCGAAAAGTGTTTATAATATATACAATCATATTTTAAGTGAATTTGAAAATTAAAAGCCTTTTGTTTTGCCTAAACAATTCCTGATAGGGCCACTAGAGGGTTCCAAAAATCAGAGCATTGTAGATGAAAATTAACAGATTTTACAACATAATCCGGAAAATACGTTCACTCACTTAAAAGTTGCCAGTCTAATAGGCTGGTTTGTTGTTCTTTCTTTTTTTCATTGCCAGGTTCCTTGAATTAACCCTCTTTAGCCCCTTGCCATCAGACTTATTTTTACCTTTCTCCTGATTCTGTCAGTTATCTATTGGCTGCAAATGAATCATGTCCCAAGAGTTTATTTGTAGGTCAAATGTTTACAAAATAGAATGTGTTTTCCCAGAGAGGTAATAATGTAACTAATTATTGGTGCTGAGGTGAGCCCATGAAGAATTAAATGGAAGAACTGTGTATACATTTTATTTTAAGATTTTATTTATTTGTTTGAGAGAGAGAGAGAATAAGCTGGGGGGAGGAGCAGAGGGAGAGGCAGAAGCAGACTCCCTGCTGAGCAGGGAGCCCAATGTGGAACTCAATCCCAGGACCCTGAGATCATGACCTGAGCTGAAGGCAGATACTTAACTGACTGAGCCACCTAGGCACCCTACATTTTTTTTTAATGCAGTTTGAAAAATTTTAAAAACTAGTGCCAGAATAAGAAATATATAAAAATAGAATGAGAATTCCTTTAGAAAGTTTGAATGCTACTTTTTTAAAAAAGCAGATTTAAATGAAGAAAAAAGAAGAAAATAACTTTTAGGATATTACTAAGTATGATTTTGGTCATTTTTGTGTGCTTTAGATACTTGTTCTTTACTATATACATACAAACATATCTTCTCTTCTCCTTGATACAAACTTTCACTATTCTTGAATTTAATTACAACTGAAGTAATTTGGTGTTTACAAATGAAATGAAGGAAAGAAAGAAGAGAGATTTCCTAAAATAGATCACTAAGCAAAAAATGGAAGCAGTAGAGAAAGAAAAAGGTGATACAGACAAAAAGGTATACAGGAGATGCACAGAGGAAGTGAAGGAAAGACATTGGAATTGGGTCAGATCTATCACACCCAGGCAACCCCTCAGTTGCTTATTTGATCTGGGGAGGGATGGAAGGATGGTGAGCACACTTGAAAGAGGAAATAGGTACTCTGTAACCCCGACATAGTTGCAGATCAGGCACTATGTGACCTGGGAATACCTTCAGAAATCTCTTAGCAATTTAGTTCCTTTTGGAAGAAAAGGGAGCTGTATTTTTAGAGTCCTAAAAGACCTAGCAAAGCAGAGCTGCTTACATTTCCACCCTGAGGCAAAATTACTCCTACGCACAGTTTTGTTTATTTTTCTATGTTCAGTTGAAGCTAAACAGGTCAAATCCTAGAATTGTGATATCACCAGAGAGGATCTTTTATTGTGCCCAGCCTGTTTTGTTTTTGCATCCCTCCCCACCTCCTTGGACATCTGGCACTCACTTAAGGAACCTGAAGTCCCTGGCTTGTGCTTCCTCCCCCAAACCCCCAATTGATTGAAATCATATATTTGGACCATAAAACCCAAGCAGACGTTGCATTTTAAACCCTGGCAATGAAAGACTTTCTCAAGGAATTTAAATAGAGTTTGGTAATGATGATGGTAGAGAAGTGATACACCTTGGGCATAGAAGTAATGGCCCCAGTGCAAAATAAAAATGTGGAGTTCCTTGTTCAAAAAGAAGAGTTTCAAGATGGTGACAGCAAAGTGTTAATAAGCAGAGTACAGGCCCCTTCCCTGTTTAAGTAAACTCTATCCCCAAGGTGGGACAAACTCATGACTCCAAGATCAAGAATCACGTGCTCTACCGACTGAGGCAGCCAGGTGCCCTGTGGGCAGGCCCTTCTAAGCACTGAGTCCTGTGAAATGGACTCACACCCATGAAGCCAGCCTTGCACAGAAGCTACTGGAATTCCATCTGATCTAAAGAGTCTACTTTGTCTATAGACATCCTCCTGCTCCCCGGAGGAGGAAGAGGTAGTGTCTGACCCTAACAAGACTGTTATGATATTTGGGTTGGCAGCTGCTGGGGAAAGGAAGATATTTTTTTAACTTTATTAGAGCAGTTTTAGGTTCACAGCAAAATTGAGCTGAAGGTACAGAGATTTCCCATATAACCCCTGCCCCCACACATGCAGAGCCTCCTCCATTGTCAACATCCCCACTAGAGTGGTACGTTTGTTACAATTGATGAACACATTGACACATCACCCCCCAAAGTCCATAGTTTACATGAGGCTTCATCATGTACAACACTCTTGACATACATTCTACGGGTTTGGACAAATGCTTAATGACAGGTGTCCATCATAGTATCATACAGAGCAATTTCACTGTCCTAAAAGTCCTCTGCTCTACCTATTCATCTCCCCACTCCCACTACTGACAGTTGCTGATCTTACTGTCTCCATACTTTTGCCTTTTCCAGAATGTCATATAGTTGGAATCATACAGTATGCAGTCTTTTCAGATTGGCTTCATTCCCTCAGTAATATGCATTTAACATTCCTCCATGTCTTTCATGACTTGATAGTGCTGAATAATATTCCGCTGTCTGGATGTACCAGTTTATTTATCCATTCACCTCCTGAAGGACATCTTGGTTGTCTCCAAGTTTTGGCAAATGTGAATAAAGTTGCTATAAACATTAATGTGCAGGTTTTCATATGGACAGAAGTTTGATCCTAGGCCTTTCATCCTAGGCCTCTTGATGTCACCCCTTCAGGAAGTCTGAGGTCTGGCCTTGATCCTGAGCTTACTGGCCAGGGTTATTCCATCTTTCAAATGGCCTCTCAGACATTGATAGTCTACCATCTGAACTTCCACGTAATGTTTGTCTATATTTCTAGGTTTAAGACTTGAAGGTGGGAATGACAGCAGTTAGAAAATCTAAGCCAGGCTGAAGGAAAGATAAGATACATGGCTTGAAGAGCGCTTGATTTGAAAGCAAGAGAAATGGACCCTCTAGAGGCAAAATATGTTGTTACAACTCACAGATTCAAATGAAAAGACACAGAACAAGGCCCTAGAGATGAGAGGAACCTGAGTAGTTTGGGGTCTAGAAGTGTCCTCGGGGTTCTTTTGTCAGAATTAATCAACTTCAGTAATTTTTGGCTTTGGACATTGGCACAGCTCTGGCTGGGAAGGCTTTTGGGCATTTTAATTGACAAGACTGTGTGCATTGGGGTGAAGCTAGTCCCCCGAAGAGAAACTGAAGTACTTTTGCCAGAAGAAGAGGAGTCAATGTTGGGGAGCATTTCAACAACATATATCTACTTTATTAATATTATGAAGAGGCTCCCACAAGATAACTTGCTGATCAATTAAATTTTGTACAGGGTTCTTTATTTCTTTCTTACTTTTGATCTTGAAATGGATACATTTTGTTCAAATATAGTTTTTTTATACAAGCTATGTTCTCTAGATATTGTTTTTTTTTAATTTTTAAAAAGATTTTATTTAGTTTTGCAAGAGAGAGAGAGAGAGCAAGCATGAGGAGGGGAGGGAAGGGCAGAGGGAGAAGCAGACTCTCCACTGAGCAGGGAGCCTGATGTGGGACTCAATCTCAGTACCCTGGGATCATGACCTGAGCTGAAGGCAGACGCTTAACCGACTGAGCCACCCAGGCGCCCTCTAAATATTGTTTTTAAATTCAATTTTACCTGGTTATATTAATTTACCTTCCATCTAATGCTTTTAGTTGAGGCCTCAGGAATTTGATGTATTAACCATGTTTGGGTGTTCTTTCATAATTTTAGCTACCACATGCATTTAAATGATTCCCAAATACATATGTGTACATTCTCTCTTTCTTGTCCCATATTACCAGTCATCTCCAGCATAAGTTTTCGTGGATACCCAGTCAAAAGTTGAAATTTAACATGTTGACAATTAAATGATCTCCTTTTACTGCTTGCCAATTTCCCCATTACTATTCACTGCAATACAAGTTCAAGTAACTTCTATGCTCAGAGAAATTGCTGGGTTCTCTGGGGATTTGAAGACATATAAGACCACAGTCTGAACTCCTAAGAGACCTCAAGTCTAATTCACTAGACTTGGCTGCATAGTAGAATTGCCTGAAGAAACTTGATGATATGGAAGCCCAGGCCCCATCCTAGACCAACTAAATCAGAATAACACCTGAGTTAGAGATGTGATTACTGAATCCTCACTGTCGTAGTCAACTTGGGTTCCTATAACAAAATACCCTAGACTCGGTTAAACAACTGACCTTTATTTCTCACAGTTCTAGAAGGTGGGAAGTTCAAGATCAAGGTGCCAGCAGACTTGGTTCTTGGTGAGGACCCTCTTCTGGGCTAGCAGACAGCAGTCCTTGTACTGTGTGCTCACTCATCTCTTTTTGTGTGTGCATGTGGGGAGTCCCACTCTGATGAGCAAATCTAAACCCAGTTACCTCGAAAGACTTCACCTCCAAATACCATTATATTGGGAGTTAGGGCTTCCGTATATAAATTTGAGGAGGAACACAAACATTCAGCCCATAATATTCACTCTCCAGAGCACCCATTGGCAATCACCAAATTAGCCAGTATTTCCTCTGGAAAAATCTCTTCCTTTTTCTTTACATTTATTATCCCCTATGCAAAGCTCTTACTACTTTAAACAAGCAGTAATAACTATCACTACCTGAGGAACTAGGCTATAGATTTTACATATATCATTTTATTTGCTCTAATCCTTATTAAAACTGCAGGGAAACTCACAGCCACACAGCTAGCAAGAGAGAGGAGGATCAGACTTCAAAACCAGTGATCATCACCCTTATGCTCTTTCTCCATTCTTTCTTTTTTCCAGTCCATCTTGCGCTAAATCCCCCAAATGACCTTCCTCAGAAACCTGTAGGGCTTTTCTTCTCTGCTCAAGAATCTGTAGTACCTGTGACCATCTGCTGAATTTGTTGTTTTTCAGTGTGGCTTTCAAGGCCATCAATCTTCAGACCCTTCCTCATACTGCTAATTGTACTAATTTCATTCTTCGAGGAAACTCCCTCAGGCCAGCTCTGCTGACCTTATCTATGGATGTAGGCTATTTCTCCGAATTAGAAGATTAAGAAAATTCATAACTTGAATTTTGGACCAAAAGAGCAGCCTCTGAGAACAAATGGAGTACATTATTACTTTTGGATTATTAATTTGTACAACTATTATTAATACCAACTAATTATTAGTTATTATTACCAACTAATAGGTTACTGACTCGGTCCTACATGATGATCCATTTAATGCCTGCCTCGCATTTCATGTATGGCCTGGGAGGCTCCAAGAGATGTCTGACTTATGTTTGGTAAATGAATTCACTCTTACCAGGTGTCGCCATTATCCCCCTCCCCCCCACACACACCACAGGTCTTCTGACGAATGCTACCTCTGCTCTGCTGGACACCGCGCCCTCTGCTGGCACACCTCTGCTACTTCACTGAACACTGGGGTCTCTGTCAATATCTGGGCACATTTAGCATATCACAACCCAAATAGGTTAGAGCCCTTAATGTGCCATAGTTTGTGTCTCTGGATAAGATGGAGAATGTCTCTCTTCTCTTTGCATTTTGTTGGAGGACCGTTGTTG